TCGCATACTGTTGGTAAATTTTTTTTATGACGAGTGAGAGGGCCGGGGGTCACTAGCGGCGTCCTTTGAAGCTAATGCCGACAAATTTTTTTTGTGGTCTTTTTTTATAAACACAGATGATACTTGCATTGTTCATGTTTTGTTTGGTCCCTTCTTTTTAATGTATACTAAAACTTCTATATGCAGTGGCAGGCTAAGAAGGTTGATACACAGTAAAACAGTTCCAAACCTAAAGATGCAAGGCTAAATATAATTTTGCACATAAATTTTTCAAATTGCACCTAAAAATTTTGCCAATGTGCAATTTTGCACGTACCTGAAAAAAAGTATTTCGAACCCTGGCAAGAATATCTCATTGTGGGGTCATGTGGTGTAAGGGCAGAGTGCTCGACTTGGAAATAACCAACAGGTTCCAGGTTCGAGACCTGACATGCCACCAATCTTGTGCCCTTGGGAAACGCACTTTACATGATTTTCCTCACTTAAATGAAAATGAGTACTGTCTGTCCTGTATTTGTTTCTATGTTTGGGACACAACACTAGCAACAGCTGCCTTTCTTCCACATGTATTGTATTGTAAGTAGTTACAATTTCAATAAATCATATCAAATTAAATCTTAAGTTGTTATTTTTGTAGCATTTGTGCTCCTCAAGACTTGATATCAGAAACTACAGTACGTTTTCAAGATTCTTCATTACCTTACAAGTATTCCCAACAAGTTTCCATGTCTATATGTATATATTTCTATATCATGAGGATTGGTATCGACTAGTGCAGCGGTGAGTTCTGACCTGTCTCTGTCCCAGCTTGACCCTGGGGATGCATGTTTTGGGGCGGAGGGGGATGATGGTGATGGTGCGAGGCTGGGGGTCAATCTCCGCAGACTTGGGGCGGTTCAGCTTCTGTCTGAAGTACAGGTAGTTCTGGTCCATGTTGGTGTGGCGGCGCTGACTCAACAGGAACCGGGGAGCCCTGGGGAGATACAGGTCATCAGTTCTTGTCTCATGTTTATCAGTATGGCTATCATCAATACCATGTCATTATCAAAATGTGGTGTGAAGACTAGTACAATTACTACTAGCTGACTGCTGCCCACCCCTGTGCCAGGGACAACAGCAGCAGAATAATCAAATCCTGGATAGTGAGTGTGATCATGAGTGAGTATTGTCACTACCTGACTTTAACAGTGGTCCTTGTCAAGGAAAATATTCAAGTGCAATGTGATCTAAGTAGTATAAGTAAATGTCTTATACAAGCCTCCAGATTTTCTATAATGTGGCTGTAAGTATGTTGACATTTGAAGAACAGTCTTCAAGACCCTCACAAGAAAAAAGGACCTTCCCAAATAAATGTCTACTTTTCTTCCAAACTTTGAAGTCACTTATTCTTCAAACATCTGCATGAACTAAAAAGAATTGTTGTGCTAACTTAAGGCAACAGCTGCAGGTTAGAAGGAGCACAGACAAGTCACTACAGTAGGTCTGCTGTTCTAAGGACAACAGCCTAAAGCCCTTCTCGGCCCTCTAAGCCCAGAGAAGTCCAAGTTTATCCTGGCTTTCCAGACCCTCGGAACAGAACCCTGATCTTCAAACAGATAGAGTGGTGATAAGCCTGGAAATTCAAACCCACACACACACCTGGGGGCAAGGGTCATCGCTGAGGCTCCCACATAATCTCCACAATCTTGTGTGGTAAGGAAATTCTATACCATAATGCACCAGCTCATATTTTCCGCCACTTTAGCCTACCAAATTACGAGGGCTGTGTAAAGTAAGGACCTGTAACATAAGACAGTTTCCCCCATTTGAGGATGTGGGAGAATCGCTGTGTCCAAAACATGGTGGGAGTAGTCTGGCTGAGGAAGCTTGTGGTGTTTATTTGTACAAGATTCACACAAGGTGAAAGACTACAGTGTTTTTGGTGAGGGACTCCTACAAGCAGCATCTGTAATACGAGCTTTGTATATGCACTGGGGAAAAGGCAGGAGTTCAATGACTCTGGAGTTTGAATGATGTCCGAAGGAATACTATGAAATCTACTACATTCTACATGTAATGTATCTGTTCAAGTATGGTCTCAAAATATATGTCTTTAACATCACAAAGGCAAACATGTTACATTCTCAATTGTTACAGCTAAGAGGAAGATGCGATAAGATGACAATACGTAATGTTGCTTTTAGAAGTCAGTGCTCTGGTATAGATGACATCGCTCTGAAAAACTTTTTCCTGAAACAGTGACAGCTGGACTTCCTTCACACAGCTCAGACAGGTTTTAATTTTTGACTGTTTGATATGTCTAGATCTGTGAGTCTGTCAGTGGAACCCAGAGGTGGTGTTTATTTGCAGACAGGGGAGGCACACTCCCTAATGACAGACAGCTCACAAACTGTGGGCTGGCCCGGCCCAGGGCCGGGTTCCCAGAGTGAATAATGACAGGGAGAAACAGTTACTTAGAGTCTCATGTGAAAGTAATGAAGTAGACTCTGTAAAGTCATCTACCCTGAGTATTTAAAACCCAGTTAGAGAGAGGTAATATTTGTGTGAGGCATCTACATGTAATATAAAAAAAACATTCTGAACACTAAAAAAATCCTAGTGTGTATATGGCAGTTTTTATTCAAATGCTATCTACACTCACCAAAAATGGTACTGTATGTACTGGTAGATATTCCAAATGATCCGAATCTGTAAGACCAATTGAATAGTAGTACACAGCTGACATGCCTAAGAGAAACACTGTAAGAAGATCTACTGACCAGTACAGTAGCAGAGGTTCCAAGACTCTGGCCTGTACATCTGCTAGTTGGTCCATGGTCCAGTCTCGGGCCAGCCCCAGCCCCAGGGCCTGGCACATCTCGTGGGTCAGCGCCAGCGGGCTGCTCTTCTGAAGGTACCTCTCTCTCATCTTCACCAGGTAGCTGTGGGGAGGAGAAGAGTTGGAGATGAATGTGGTTGTCATGTCCATGTTTAACGTCTAATATCTCACTAGACATGGTCTCTTGGTGCTGGTTTGCTCATACATGTAGTTGTCATGGTATTGTACTTATTATTCTGGATTTCCTTTAAAGTCTGTAAAGTACAGCCTTTTCTAAATTCTAAGTCTGTTAAGTACAGTTTTTTTCTAAGTGTGTAAGGTACAGCCTTTTCTAAACAGCCTTTTCTAAATTCTAAGTCTGTTAAGTACAGTTTTTTCTAAGTGTGTAAGGTACAGCCTTTTCTAAATTGTAAGTCTGTTAGGTAAAGATTTTTCTAAGTTTGTAGAAATGTTACAATCACAGTAAAGTTCTACATAATGGTCTTGATGCCACCAACAAAACAGCAGAGCAATACAAAAGCACTTCCTAGAGATTCTTATCTGTACTGCAGTCTCTACTGTCTGTTGTAACTGCCTGCAATATCAACTTGCTCTGCTAGATGTCCCCATTGCACTATTGATGATTGCAACCAAGTGCATGTTTAAAGTGCATGTTTGAAGGTAAACCTAGCAATGTGACTTTCTCACTGAAGATAACAACATATCAGCAGAAACAAACCCTGTTGTGTCAGACCTACCTCTGGTGCTTGTTGGGATCTGTGATCAGTTTTCCTCTGTCAATGTCCAGCCAGAAACTCCAGTACTTATCTCCATTGCTTCCCTCCAGGAATTTCCTCATTGCTTCGAATCCTTTACAGTTCTGCAGCTCGAACACCCTCTGTTTTCTGAACCAGGGGTCAGGCTCCTCGGACTCCTCACTAAACAGGGAGTCAATATCACTCTCACTGTCGTTTTCATTTTCGTCCTTGATTGTCACTTTTTTTGTTTTCTCGTCCTCCTCTTCTTCTATATCAGTTCTTGCGGTGATTTTTCCCTTTGGACCGATTTCTAGATGATGCAGTGATACACCAGGCTTTAGAAGATGGGATGTGTCAAAGAAGTCTGGAACTTCCTTGATGTCCACGTCTGTTACTGCAGCGACGGACTGTTTCATCACGATGGCGACAACAATAGTCGCAAAGTCTTCCACATTCTGCACATTGAGGTAGGGATGCTCCTCATCCTCATCTGTAGTGTCACTTGATTCTGATTTGGACGAGGAGTCACTTCTTTCTGATGACCCACTGTCATCATCACTGTCATCTTGGTCCTCATTGTCCTCAGCATCTTTCTCTCCCTCCTTTTCCTCGTCCCCAAATCCGCTCTCCTTATAGACCGTGCTCCTACTGATAGCTCCTGTTCGCTGCGACTGGTCATCGGTCACCATGCAGACAAAGTTCTCGTGCAGCGGCGTCTTGGAGCGGGTGGGGGGTCTCCGGGTCGGGCTCTCCACTCCGAACAACTTGCTGGAGTACCAGTCTTCTGACTGCACCGAATCTCTGTCATGGGACCTAGGGCGACAGTAAATGATGAGTATTCGATCCTCTGTTCTCCTTGTACTATTGTCACTAAAAAAACATTAAATTTCTTATAAGAAAGAAAAATAAAGAAGTATGCCTAGAGCATATAAAAATACACCGAGAAAAAACAGAAAGAACACAGACCAAACAAGACTGCGAAGTTAGAGCATATCAGCATTGATGGTTGAATGACTGATTTTCATGAAGAGAATTCAAAGGAAAACCATGTGGGCAATAGCATTTTACACAATAGAAAAGATCTAAAGTTAAACATGAGAAAAACAAGAAAGGAAACAAGTGGTAAGAATCTGAAAGCCAGAAAAAAAGGAAGACAAACAGAAGACTTACCTAGCAGAGCCTGTCCACATGGCACTGTCCTGTACCCTCAGCCCATCCTCTCCCAGCAGGGACTCAGCAGACGCTGGACGTCCACTGTTCGGCCTGGACTGGTAACCAAACGGGTCGCTGCCAATGCCACTGGACATGCGGGATTTTGCAGCTGTGGTTGTCTGGAGCTGGTTGGCCTGAACAGTAATACACAAGGTGGTGTCATTCAGTGTAAAAGGATATGAACAATTCTCTATGTAGGTTCTTAAAAGAGGGCTTAACATTGATTTCAATAAGCACACACTCACACACACATACACTTACGTACAAACTCAAACACACACACACACACTTACGTACACACACACACACACACACACACACACACACTTACGTACACACACACACACACACACACACACACACACACACACACAGATACACACAAACCTACCTGTCTGGCTGTAGAGATCCACTGTTTAGTCTGTGTTGTGGAGGCCTCTCCCATGCACACATACATGGTCTTCATCAGCTTCACTGCTGCATCATCCTCCAGCTGCTGGGTGATCACAACCGACTTCTTCCTGGAAAAAGGTCTGGCGACAGAAGACAAAGAAAGTTAACATCAATAAGATATCAAAAGTTTTGAGAACATTTTTGTACACAGTAAAACAACAAAGATACTAAGTAATACTCAATTCCACACCTTAAGATAAAGTTCTGAATGTTACTTGCACGTGTATCTATTCTAATGCCTTCTCCTATCTGACTGACCAGCTTGGCACCTCTCTCTAGCCATACCTGAAGTTGACATTACCAGGTGATGCCTTCTATTATATAATAAAGGTAAAACTCCTGTCCTAGATGGTCAAAAAAGTTTTGTGTACCCAATAAACCTCTTCTTGCCTGACACCACCGCAACCATTCCCTGTATCTTTGCTCATCTATATAAACAGTTTAAAAGCATTTGACTCAGAACCAAGAGGTCCTGGGTTCGAATCCTACCATGTCACCAACCTTGGGAAATGCCCTTGGGAAAGGCAGTTTATGTAACTTTCCTCACTTTGCTCAGGTGTTAATGAGTATGCCAGAACGATCATTATCATGATAGTGGGCATGGAAAGAAAAACCAAACATTTCTCCCATCTCTCTGCATCCTCTCACCTGTACTCTGTGTCTATGGTGAGTTTGACCCCGCTCTCCAGGTTGTCTGTCTGCTGCAGCAGTTTGGCCAGGCGATACTCCAGGTACAGGTCACTCTGCAGGAAGGCAGGCAGACGCTGCTGCTTGATCCACTGGATGCCTTGTTCCTTGTTCAGACACTGGAGGAGACGGATGTACATAATGCTTACGGTTAGTACACCTCCACTAGATGAACTGCTAGCCAAAAAAAATTCCTGCTTTCACATACACAAATAATTTGACAGGAAAACATTCTTCCTCCTCGTATACATTTTCTTACAACTGAGAAATCATTGTACTCGTCTCCATCAATTATGTATCAAGTATCATAATTTCAAAGCCAAACCACTTACTGTTACAAGGAAGCTGGTTTTAATCTCCTCCTGTGTCTGTGGCTCATCAGAGAACACCTGGTAGTACAGGGGCTTGTCCGTGATTGCTCGTGTGGCGTTGTAGATCTGGCTGGGTGCCTTGTATGAACGCGCCACAGCTTTGATCTGATTGGCCACATCCTTCTGTGCGTTGGTGACAACCTCAAACCCTCCCAGGTCCTTGTTGAATCTAAGAGGTTCTGGGAATGTCTGAAAGAGAATTGTTACAAAACATTGAATGTCTGAAAGAAAATTGTTACAAAACACTGAATGTCACTACTCAAACCACTGAGAAATGTAATGTGTAATGTGCATCAATGAAACATAAATAAACACAATAAAGATAAACACAGTATAAAACTGCATACATTGCTGTACATGTAGAGTCAACTGTCAACCTCTTGAAATTTGCATGAAGCTCGTTGTAGTCTATGACATATTTGCATAAAGAGCTGCAATGTACCGCATACCTGATCTGTCAAAGCACAATAATTACTCTCCAACTTATCTCAGATAAGTAGACTTTGCATTGGCTCTAATCCTAACACATTAGGAACAAGGTCTCCAATTGGAAATACATTTGAAATCGGAAGGGTAATTTTCCTCCAATCTATCATAATCATGGCCTTTTGTTTGGAGTAACCACTGTCTAAATGGACCCTCTGGGGACGCAAAAAGTTGCTTGATTGTATGATTAGCTTTGTAATCACGGTAAGCAAAGATTGAAACAGTTAGTAGAAATTCTTCAATCGCGAGACTAGGTCACTCCTTGAGAAAGGTGTACAGTCGACACCGAAAATTTGGAGGTACGTGTTTTACCTTTAAATACAGTCACTGATTGAAGAATTTCTACTAACTGTTAACTCTACGTGACTGATGAACCTCTTCAACGACAAAGATTGAAACTTGTTCAAACTTACTGGGAGGCTGAGGAACTTGTTGAAGTAATCCACAAACAGGTCATCTGTGGCCAGGAAGTCCTCCTGAAATCAACAGCACAAATTATCATTGATGAAGAATAGTCATATTGATATATTAGTTACTTTAATGTCTTTGATATGTATGACTATAGCCTTTTCTAACAGTTAATCACAAGATGTTCTCTTTATTGGTGTGGTCGCGTGGCGCTATGTCAGATTGCTTGACTCGAAACCAAGAGGTCCCAGGTTTGAGTCCTAACATGCCACTGATCATGTGCCCTTGGGAAAGGCACTTTACACACTTTCCTCACTTAACTCAAGTGAAAATGAGTATTGTCTGTCCTGTATTTGTTTCTATGTGTGGGACGCAACACCAGCAACAGCTACCTGTGTCCCATGTGTCAATAAATCAAATCAAATCAAATGGTGTGGAAAATGTCAGTGCAATCATGCAGATGTCTACTGAACAGGTCACACATTTTAACAGCATAGTCCCCTCTTTCCAGCCAGACTTGGTAACATCAACAAAACACCTGTTCTCGTTCTTTTACAGACAGGTACACAATGCCTTTAGGAGCCCCTGCTGAGACAGCGTTTGTCTCAAGTAGGAAAGGGCTGGTCTGCGTGGAGCCAAAGTGATATATCATGGTAATTAGGACTAATAAATGTGTTTCAAAGTGTTATAATGATAGATAAGCACTAAGTGGGGTCAGCTTCAAGAACTGGCTCACTGCATCTTTCCCAGGAGTAGAAAAACAATGTGTCTACCTCTTGCACAGATTCTAATGATTTTCTAATGACCATCTTGAAAGCTGTCTTTTTTCCTAAGCATTCACAAATCTGAAACTAACCAACAGGGATCATAAATGCAGCGAAAAAAGCTCTTGAGATATATAAAGGAACAAGGAAGAAAGACCTAAAGACAAGATGTTATATGATGCCTAGTTAAGGACTGTCCTGTATCAAGTTTATTGACCTTATGACCTATGAGAGAATTGTTTTACAAGAAAAGCATCATGGGCTTGGGTTGAAGGACTTCTAGCTTTCTTTTTAAAACTGTTTTACAGTGAAGTCTGTTTGGAAACACAAGTAGTCAAAATAAATACTAGAATGTAACAGGACAGAAATAAAAACTTCTGGAATGCGCTGAGCTATTCTTTACACGGTTCTGTCCATATTTTAACTCATAACAATCGTCCATTGGTCGTAGTTTACAGCAAACAGAGAACTGTAAACACGCCCAGGTGTGGGTTACCTGGTACTGTTGCCGAATGGGGAGAGTGTTTAACCTCGGCGACTCTGGCGTATGCTGCACAGTCACCATGGCAACAGGTATAAACAAAACACCTGAGCTCTGTGGTGGGACACCAACAGTGTTACAGGCTGACTTTATCTTGACTTGATATCATGCATTAAGCAGTGATATAGATCAATGAAGAAGAATCTAGCAATGTTTTTGACTAACATAATCGAAAACAAATACTTATGTGACTCATCAGTGGAACATTGTTTGAATCTTAAATGAAGAAAGGTTATTCTAAAAATTAGGAAAGGAGAGATACCACAGTCTCTCTACATGCACATTATTTATAGGTAAGTCAATCATGCATTGGAAAACACTGCCAATAAAAGAAAGTGGGAGACTTTCTGTCCTGTGTGCCTTTTGTATTCCACAGTCATGGAAGATTTGAGAACTTCAAAAGCGGAGTCTCTGTTCCAGCCCGACTAGTGTAACACTAGTCCTGTTACATTGTCCAATACTGTACCATCTGAAGTTACACATTCTTGTCCTTCCCAACAGACCCATGACAAAAAATAATAGTTGTACTTTCTGTCCTATTCCCAGGTGTTACACTATACCCAGGGTATGGGACAGACAAGGGAAGCACTTTCCCACCTCTACCTTAAACTGTCTACCTGAAACCTAACCAGGTGTGCTTCAAACATGATGTACATCTTCAAGTATAGGTTCCAATCTTTAATGTATCTTCAAATATACATGAAAGCACACTCAGGAGTGTAAAGGTAATACTAAAGGTTAAGTGTAAGCTGGATCAACAAAAAAGGAGACTGTGCATTATGCAACGATGTTTAACATCTGATAGCTTTAATAGGCAAAGCATGCATGCCTGCTAAAGTGTACACAACAAACAAGTTTGTGGCCTCAACGTTGGAAAAGTTGGAGGCAGGTATGCAGGGAGAAGAGGGGAGATTCAAGCTTATCAAGAGTTTCGGAGCCCTACCCTTGAAGTATAATATATGTCCAATCACAACACTAGGCCCCAAGTAAAAGACTTCAATTGAGTTACAAAGCGACCCCCTAAGCAGCGTGGAATGCCATTGTCCGTCCACAACCATGGAGACGGGTCACAGGTAAATCAAGTTAAAGCCTTTGTCAGCACAAAGTACCGACACATTAGCATCTCCCACTTTTCAGAACCACTGTGTGCATCAGCCCAGAACAGGCCACAGACATTAGTACCTGGTATCTCGCTACGGCCCGATGATCAGTGTGCCAGTCTAACACTAGTGAAAATTGTCCTAATGACAAGTCTTAATTAGACAACTCGCATCACGTCAACACATAATTATACGGTACTATTACTGATGGTGAGAACTGATAGACCTGAAAAGGCTATTCAGCGTGGAGCACTTTTAACTTGTGCTACTGCCAACATCTGTCCTGCCTCCTATTTTATTGCAGTACTAAACTGTGCAATTAAGGCCACACCAATTTAATTTCTTGGTTAACGGATTCGCCGCTTCATTTTTTTCTGATTTGCAAATAAAAATAACAGGTCAGAAACAACTGCAAAATGCTCACATTTAGCCCTGAACAGTTGAAAAACTGTCCTTTTCTTACTACTTCTTACAGTCATTCCATATTTCAATGCAGTGGTATCATTAAAAGTTCAAAATTCATTGTTTAAATTTTGAACCAGCCTGGTGTGTTGACTTCATGGCTCCTATTATACCATTTTGGGCCATAATAGGATGCCTAGGCCTGTTTTAATTTTTTTTCGCCCGCCCGCTCCATTATTTTTGTAGAAAAATCCGTTAACCAAGAAATTAAATTGGTGTGGCCTAAGGGTGCATATCTAATATGTGGGAATGGCAAACAATTACAAATTATACAATTACAATCACTATCAACACTTCAAGAATTTCTGGGAATTTATGGGAAAAAATTTAGAATTCTCCTGGATTATTATACAACTGAGCTTAAGCTCTTCACCAAAGAAATCTCACAGAAAAAAGTTGTTACTGAATCTCTGTCTAGCTCTACGTAGTTCCTACTAATTCTAATCACTACAAAACAGGTATATTCTCTGTATCATGCATGATTTTCCCCTTTTCATATATAATTCACGGTCCTTGTTACTGTTAATATTATTGTGTGAAAGGCAGATGTAATGTTCCGGAAATAAGGAGAAGAGCTTCTACAATACAATTGTGTATGCGCTGAATCAAAATGTATGTAATGATTACCTGGATATGATTGTACATGCCACACAAAGGTCCAGTGGTCTGGAAACATTTCCTGTGGGATTTGGTTGTTCTTTGTATCTGTCACTCAACATTATCTCACATACCATGGGCTCTCTCCTCCTGGCTCCCAGCTAAATTATTTAGCATGAACACAAGATAGTTCTATGCAATACATTGTACTTTAATTCAACACTTTCTGTAGAATGGTTAGTATTTTTGCAGCCACTGCAAGAAAAGCACACCAGACACCACTGTGTTGTAAATTTGTTGCAATATTGTGCTAATCATATCCCTTTTCTTATGAGCTGAACAAATTCTGATACACTGATATACTGAAGGGAGAACCTGTAATGTACAGACATACATTCCAGGTTTAAAAGGCTCCAATTATCATCTTGTTTTAAATACATTGTACAGGTCAGTGATTTTGTCTACAGTGACATGTCTGTCCATTAGGTAGAGATGTAAGGAGCCCTGTAGTGAGATAACACCTGGTACTTAAGGGCAGCAGGGCTTGTACAGAGCTCTCAAGAACAGGTGGTCAGAGTGGCTAAGAGGACAAAAAGATATAGTGATAAAGCAAGGAACCATTGCAATAATAACAAAACCCGACCGAAGCCTTCCTGAACAAATCCTGCAGAATCCGAAAAATTCTGTCCTCTCAAACATCGGGAAACAGATCTTAAGACTAGCCCAGCCAACCATGCACTGCTAATACTTTGTAATACATGATCTTTACAAGAAACATTTAAGTGGTCTGACTAATTCCGTGAAATGTAAATTTGAACTGAATCTCAACTCAGGTTTCCCTGAGAAAATGGTTCTACTACACTTTGATGAAAGGTTAGAGCATTGACACAGCTACACAGTTTCTTTAAGTTCCTCCAGAAAAAATATAACGCTACATACAAATGATTAATAAATTTCAATTTACATTCTATGACTCCTTGGTGTCTTCTCGGGCAACATAATTGTGTCATCTTTGTCCTGGAATTAAAACTGACTACAAGCTGTCTTTAAGACCATCACTGACAAGCTTCATGCTGTATTAAAGTCTGGCTGATTGCCACATGTACACCATTCCAGCAGGTCTAAGAGACTGGGTGATGGCATGTGCTTTGTACATGTACCTGCACAGACCTGGCCAAAACATACTCATTTATACTGGTGTTTTGTCACATGACTGAAGGCTTTAGTTCCACTCAATCTCACAAACCCTGCAGCTGACTGCTAGAGGGGGGATTTGTGTATTCTGCGGCCCATAGGTGACCCTAAGGTACGCCCACAATCCCCCAGTCTCTAGGCAACACAAACATGCCCCACCAATCGTTCCCCTATAATCCAATAATGCACACTTCGACCTTTTCCCAGACTTGAGAGTTAATCAGCAGCCAGGGTTTAACTTTACAGCTCACAAGAGGACTTCGTTGTGCCTAATTTATGACATGTACCCAAGCCATAATCACCACTTAGTACTCAGCAACTTTTACAGTAGCTGTACATGATAAGGACCTTAAAAATCCCCTGTATCAGAGTGATAAAAGGCAGACCTACTTGTTGTAGAGAATCACAAGGCTACTGTAATTTGTGGCATGACAACAAACTGCAAAAGATTCTTATTCTGTAGTAACTGTAATTTATCTTGTTGATTAAACTTATAATTACTCTCTTATTAAGTCTTTCTACAATGTTCTTGACTTTTTACTAGTATTCCGATAATAGTATTCCATAAGTCATGCTTCAAGAACACAGTATGTATATCTTACATGTGTATTTCAGATTACTGCTTTTTCAGTTAGCTTTTACATTAAAGATGTACAACATAATTTCAGCAATTGTAAAGAATATCAATTTGAATAAAATATTATGGTTGTACAGTACCAACACCACTAGCAAACATAACCATTCCTTCTAACCCATCTGGGCGTTTATGATTCTCTTTGTGTGTGAGTGTGCACACTAACCTCCTAATGCACGTCAAACATACTTCAGACAAGGCTCCCAACAGAATCAAATGACATTTTCGACCACAACCACTCATTAATAAATCAAAAAGCCCTTTGCCAATTGCACAAACAGCATGTCCTGACAACTGTGCGACTATGTCTGAGGTCAGACAGTTGTGCACTATTGTAGCTCACACAAAGCTGACACGTTGGTTACCTGTTGTGTTTGGATCAGGTGACAACTACTGACATCAATGTCTCTGGCAGAAAGAGAAAGTCTCACGACACAAGCTATGCATTCCATCTCAGGTCAAAACACTGCAAAATGTTTTTTCCCATTTTTTTAGCCATGATGTTAGTATTGAAATCATTTAAATTTAAACTTCCCCATTTTCAAACAAGTAACATGGGAAGCAAAACAGAACTTGGAAGGGTTCAAAGTAGAATTAATAAACATAGTTCTTACACATGGTTTGTTTCTATCCTGGGTCTACTTTTTTCCACATTTTCTCTTTAAATTCTTGTATTTTCCTCGCTCTTTGACTACTTGTCTTTACCTAAAATATTTGACTTTCCAGATACTTACCAAATCTTCATGCCTAATCTCTGGTGGTTCTGTAAAAACAGGATAGAAAAAGAATTGGTCACTGACTGTACTCTACATAACAGTTACATTTCCTGAACAAATTCCTTCTTTTACCAGATCGTAGAACATAATCAAAATGAGCAATCCATGCTAATTTGTGAACAATACTATTAGTACTTAATCCCGCACACCCTTTATTATCACATCAAGTGTAACCAGTTGGACTAGTAACAAAAAATGTAATACCTCTCGAAGAAAGATTTTATACTTGAGCAACAAGCTTTTCTGTGCTACAATGTGAAATGTACCAGAAATAAATTATAATACAGTATGACAAGTCTTCTTTGTATATCAGGCTGAAAGGTAGCAACAAAACAGGAAGATATATAGCACACACTGAGAATGATCATTAGTTGCCTGATTGATGGCACATAAAATACCTATCTAGTGTCATTCTTAAAATGTAATGTGACACTAATAACCTATCAAACTGCACACAAGGAATGAGTTTGATTTTCTAAGCCACAGTTTTGAAGTTGCTTGACATATTTTAAGTTTCCTTTCTTTTTGTACAAAGGTTTCCATAACATAGGAACAACTTTTCATCGGCATACAGTGTAACATTACAGAGGTCAACATTTAAGCAACTGGACAGCATGATCATTGTTGTTGTTGTTGTTGTTTTTCAATCAAATCGTTACTGTGATTAAAACACTAAAAAAGTGAATTAGTTGGAATACAGACACAACCACAGGCTGTAGGGTCGAAAATTACTGTGGGAATAGCACTTCAAACCCCACTCACCTACAGTCAGCTTTCTCTCCGGCATGGCTGTAGAGGTAAACACGTAATACGACACACACTCAACAACGCCAATTCTAAATCCCTCCTTGTGTCCGCTACAGCTGGCAAATGGCGAAATGGCCTTTCAGAGAGTCCTAGTGAAATCTCAAGGAGTGTCGCAGGTGATCCCACAAGTCCAAGACCGTGGCAGAAGACTCAGGTGAGGCGACACACCTGTGGCTGTCACCTGGTTTGAATGACTTGTCCATGGAGCGGTGTTGTCAAATAAAACAGCCACATGGCAACAGTTTCAAACAGCGCTTTCCTCTTGGTTTTAAGACAAGGTATGCTCCAGTCTACCTGCACACCCCTACCACCACCAGGTGCTTAAAAAACACCTGGGATAGACAGGTAAGGAAGGGAGGTAGGAGGGGGTAGTAGACGCAGTTGAACAGGCGGGTGTTGCCGGGCGATGGTAGTAACCACACCAGGCATTTACATGACAATAGCCCGGAGGCTGTACAAATGGATCCATTTACACAGGGGGCCATACAGGGCTGATTTACCTGGTCGCCAGGGGCAACGGGCAGGGGGCAGGTCTGTGGACTCAAGGGGTCAGGGGTCACGGCACGGGCGGGAAACTTGAGCAGTAAAGGTAGCCTCAGATTCATCAACAACTGAAGAAGGAATCAGGAGTGTTCATCGTTCCTCTGTGACAACAACTACAACAAAACAGCAGAAGTTTTTAAAGTTAACATTTGTTAGCATGTTGTAATAACTACTGTCGAATTGTAAAATGCCGTAAAGACAACAGCGCGACTGTCCTAAAATAACCGTTGAACAAGGTTTGGCGAAGGTATTAAATTGGCTAAAACCGATATAGGGTTCGCGATAAATTATGGCACTAACACGGACGTTATAGCTTGATCTAACGTCCTTGTCTTAACTTAAACATATTGGACTAAGCTGCGTTGATTAAATAGGGTTAACGTGAACGTTTACTTGCAGACCAGGTTCGAAATCTCTGACAACTTGAAATGTCACCATGATGCAGACAAAGACACAAGAAAGATCACAAGCGTCAACACCATCAATAATTTATAACTCGATAAACCTGGTCCATCGAACGTTGTGGTCTTCAAACACGCCTCCACATCCAGATATGTCAAAATAGACGATCTTTTCGAGAAAAAAATGCTGAAATGTGACTGCGATGCTGAACTCCGAGCTGTGTGTTGTCTGTTTGCCCGCCTCTCTCTCTCTGTATCCGCATGGGGGTAACAAGGAACACATGTGATGTTTTTGGCGACGCGCCTGTGGCGTGTTCATTAAAGTTACGAAAGGGAATGTCTATGTGTACGCAATGAGGTTGAAGGGCAAACACACATAAACACAGGCACAGTGGCAGAAAAAACACACACACTTTCATACAGACACAGTGTAAACAGTGCACATAATCTCCTTGATTGTACTCAACACTGAGTTGGCGCTTGCAATTTCGGTCCCAGTAGCGCGAGTCTTGTAGACTTTACACGTTGACTATTTAGCATAATTTGTACAGTATGTACTCTGAATATGGTAGTGTGTTGCTCTCTGCGCGCGGGTATAACTTTCACACATTTGATAATTACACTGCGTTCTCATGCAAAAGTTTTCTGCAGTTTTTCTTTTTCTCGCACGGCGTCGCAAATGAACTGGTCGTCGTTGTGAGTCACTGCGTTATGGAACTTGCTCACCAGATGTCGCGGTTCTCAACAAGAACGATATCAGTGTGTGGACCAATACTTATATATATGACTGTATGTAGCTGAGACCTTTTGGCTTTTGAAACGTACACAAAGATCTGGCCGTATACTACTCGTGCGGGGGCGTATTTCTACTTCTGCCGTAGATATAACGTTACAGGAAACAGATGCAGAATGTAAGGTTATATACACCCCCGCATTATTAGTTGTCTACGGCTTATAAAGTCTGATGAACTAACATTTTAATAGGGTCATTAATGGGTTGCTGGGGAGTTTTAACGGTTTTTAAAGGTTACTGATGCGGATATAGTGCGATATATATGAATAGTTAGGGCAGCTACGATCGGAGGCAGTGGATTAAACGTCGGTAAACTCTACTCTTCAAGCAGAGGTTTGGAGTTTCTTTTTTTGCACTGGAATTTTTTTCGCCCAACCCAACTGAAAAAAAAGTCCAGTTCGAAAAAGAAACCCCGATAAAAATAACCCAAAATCCAAACCACTGCTTAGAGAGTAGGTAAACTTTAAAACACAATCTATTTGCAGTGTCTGCTCTTCACTGTCCTTTCTTCTACAAGAGCTCTGATCTCTCTATATGCTGCTATTTTCGTCACGAGCCTATTATGTATATTGTGGCCATAATTACGCGTGTTTGTGACAAGCAATAAAAGAATCTATAAAGAGTAACCTACGGTATGCCATATGTAGCGCACATTGAGTGATCATTAGTTGCCCAATCAAAGGCAGATGAAATACCTCTTTAGTGCTATTGTATTGCTATTGTACATGTACATACTATTTTTGGCCATAATTACGCATGCATGTTTCTGACAACAAGAAAAAGAGAGTAATACGTATTGAATATGACATGCTGACAATCATCACATTAGTTGCCAGATTGATGGCAAATGAAATACACATTTAGTTTAGATCTGATCAATTTGTATGGTGCTTTTGTCGTCACATACTACTTTTATCGTCACATACTATTTTTGTCCTCACATACTATTTTTGTCCTCACATACTATTTTTATCGTCAGATAGTATTTTTTAAACATAATAACCCGCGTGTTTGTGACCAGTGAACAAGAAAAGACGGTAATAAACAGGCTATATATAGAGCATACTAAGAATGATCATCAGTTGCCTGATTGATGGTCGGTATCAGTGTAGCACTAAAAAATTAGTTATATGAGCTCTGATTTGTTTATATGGTGCCATTTTTGTCACATACTATAGTACTATTTTTACACGTGTGTTCCTGACAAACAAAAGTGAGTAATAAATCTATCAACATACTATATATAGATATGCCAAAAAACAGTTACTCAAGCAACTGGATATGATTTTGAAAACGTCAGACGTTTCAGCTAGTATCCACTAGCTTTCGTCAGTGACTGAGAGACCAGAGGGGAAAGCAGGTTTATATACACAACCTGTTGATTGATATGCAAATAAAGTGAAGACAAATTTTTGGAAGTCGAAAAAGGAACAAAAGTCAGACAAGTCAAGACAAGATGATGCAAATTAGTCTGAAAGCTCCTGTTATACAGGACAGGAGCTTAAGTGTTGTCTGTCCTCGGGGCTGGGAGTGCCAAATCCCAAGTGCCGGAAAGATCGACCCGTAGCCCCCCTTCCCTGTTGAGGGTGGGGTTGTACATTCTTTCATATATTGCCTCTTTAACACCCCGTTCCCACCAGCGTGTTTCGCGGTCTAATACATCCGTGGACTCGAGTTTGAAAGAGTGACCCTGGTTGTGTTGTAGGTGGTGGAAAATAGCTGAGGAGTAGCCGTTGGCACTAGGTCGGCAATGTTCTTTGTACCTTACTTTAAGCGGTCGACTTGTCTCTCCAATGTAGGTGTTGTTACAATTGGGCTCCTCACATTTGAGTCTGTAAATAACATTCGCCTTGGTACCCTTGTGAGGTCGGTCCTTAGGGTGTACCAGTCTTTGTCTGAGGGTTGAGTGAGGTTTGAAGTTAGTGGCTATGTTGAAGTTTTGGAAGATCCGTCGGAGTTTCTCAGATACTCCTTGGACATACGGAATAGTGATGTTGGCCTTGTTTTTGTTGGTCAAAGGTTTGCACTTCTGGGTTTTCTTAGACTGATCTGAAGGTTTGAGCGCTTTGTTGAAAGTCCAGTTTTGGTAGCCACATTTAGCCAGGGCACCTCGGAGGTGTCTATGTTCGTCCGTTTTGGCTTGGTCTGAAGTGACAATGTTGTCTGCACGATGGAAGAGAGTTTTGATCACTGCTACTTTGGTTTGTGTTCCAAAGGGTGGTGGGAATCAAAGGCCAGGTACTGATCAGTGTGGGTTGGTTTCCTGTACACTTCGAAACGAAGGTTACCATCTTCCTCTACGATAGTTTTGGTGTCTAGGAAAGGGAGCATGTTGTCATGACTTGGCTCCTGTGTGAACTTGATGTTATCATCTATCTGGTTGATGTGGTCAAAGAAGTCAGCAGCTACCCTCTTTTTCAATCTGCACCAAGTGTCATCTACATATCGAAACCAGTTGGCCGGGGGAGTGTCATTGAAAGTGCTGAGGGCTTTGTTTTCAAACTTCTCCATGTACAGGTTTACAACAATTGGTGAAACTGGTGATCCCATAGCACAGCCGTGCATTTGTTGGTAGAACTGTCCTTTGTAGGTAAAGTATGTGCATCCTAAGCAGAGTTCTAGTAGCTCACAAACTTGGTCAACGGATAGGTTGGTTCTATCTGCAAGTGTATCATCGGCTTCCAAGGCTTCCTTGACTACTGTCGATCTTTCCGGCACTTGGGATTTGGCACTCCCAGCCCCGAGGACAGACAACACTTAAGCTCCTGTCCTGTATAACAGGAGCTTTCAGACTAATTTGCATCATCTTGTCTTGACTTGTCTGACTTTTGTTCCTTTTTCGACTTCCAAAAATTTGTCTTCACTTTATTTGCATATCAATCAACAGGTTGTGTATATAAACCTGCTTTCCCCTCTGGTCTCTCAGTCACTGACGAAAGCTAGTGGATACTAGCTGAAACGTCTGACGTTTTCAAAATCATATCCAGTTGCTTGAGTAACTGTTTTTTGGCATATCGTATTACCTGGATGTCTAACCTTCATCGACGTACTATATATAGAAACTTTATTCGCAAAATCATGCCCGAAGGCTAATTGCTTTTACAATCAAGAATAATACACATTGCAATACAGTAAGTAACAGGAGACAGGTAACAACTGTCTGGAAAAAAACTTCTACTTCTACTACTACGCTAGCTATTATGGGGTTCGACTTCTTCTTTGAAGGCAGTGGATAATGAATAGTAGCCTTGGTGCCATCCCCAGTAGTATATTCGCCAGCTCTATAACTGTTATAGAGCTGGCGAATATACTACTGGGGATGGCACCCAGGCTAAATGAATAGTCCCACATTCTGCATAATTAGTGGGTTTTGTGATCTTAGTAGAAATGCAGTTTTTTGGTAGACGCATATAGCCTAAGTCACAATGAAGAAAACACCACAGTAGTGACAGACAGACATGACAAAGATTCGCATTGCTAGAGTGTACACTTCATGGTATACACCGGTACTGGTACACGAAAATTTCTCTAACTGTACATGTATGAGGTTATAGGGCTATCTGCCCTGTAACCTCCTTGTATGTATGTGCCAAGTTAGCATATTGCTTTGAATATAGGTATCAAATATAAATGGCCGTTTTATGATGCCGTTATCTGAGTTAACATCAGAGTCAAATACGCCTATTACTATTTTAGTGACGGCAAACATGTGACGCACGGACACACCTACTTTGTGTCAATAATATCCCACAAACGTCGATATGAATAGGACGTTTTCGATAAAAATAGATCGCTGATAATTGTATATCGATATCCGTGCCGGAAGGCAAGACGTGGCGTGACTTACCCTGGCTACACCTGGATTATCTTGTTCATTCCAACATTTAATCACAAGACGAGTTTTTTTCAACTTATTTTTATGCTGCCACCAACACAGTACTCATTTTGACCTGAGTGAAGCGTGTCAAGTGCCTTTCGCAAGGGTACAAGTTCGGCGGCATGGCAGGGTTCCAACCCGGGACCTCATGGTTCCGTTCCGACACAAACACTCGAGATCTACCGTTACGCCGCACGACCCCACTTGGATGATCTGCGAGCAGATGTAAGAATTCGGCTCAGTCCTAGTGTTTTACTATACCGAGGCCTTAATTTATACAAGGAGCTTTCATCAACAAAGAAATATCATTAATTTATAATAGTGCAACTTTTAAAATCTTCACCGTAGGAGGAGGTTGAAGATTTAACACAGGAAAGGCGAACTCAAATGTGGCAAAAACACGCCGCAGCAAAAAAAAAAAACTGGGTCTGAGTAGTATCATTACATCTGCTAAAAATCCTAGTAATATGTACCATTTGTGTGGCATACTGATATAGATCGTGCATATTATGATTATAAACAGATGTACTGTTTTGTTTTTTGTTATGTCAATGTTTATTATGATATTGATATCGTGTAAATAGGGCGTGTATTTGTGTATTAGCACAACCGGTATAAACTTTCATCGGCGTGGTACATTAGCTCAGAGGCTTTAATTTGGAACTTATCTATGTTTTGACCTCCTTCCAGCTTTGTTTGGGACGGATGGGTTTGGTCCTAGGTATCTTCTTTGATGACCGAAGAAGCCTATTCTTGACTGACAGTCCATATATACCGCGTTGTGTACGGGTAATTTACGGTAAATGTGGTTAATAAACGTCAACTGAAACAATGCATATATTTTTATGATGTATAAATACAATTACTTAGTACCTGTTCGTTGAATACACTGAAAATGCTCACTTTGTTGCTTTGGTCGTTTTGAATATCTGAGCATTGTTGCATAAACAATGGCTAGCAGAAATGATACATGTATTTCATATCATATTTCAATAGAATGTACAGAACATTTTTACGGTAACAGTGCAAGGTCTATATGATATGATGGAAACGTTTTTTTACGTCAACGATTTGATAATATTGCAGCGTCGAACTGTAAATGAAACGATGGCATCTGGCAAAGTTCACCTGTTTGTTTCACAAAGTTTACCAGACAAGATGGCAAATTAGGTGCAGGTTATCAAAATTCTTAAAGCAGAGTTTATTGAAAATCATATGGCCGATGCGAACCTTTCTTTGCTACAGCAAATTATACACACCATTCAGCATTATATGTACTGTATTACTTAGGTGAAATAAACCGTTGCTACACACATTCTGGATAGAGATTGAATGTTTCCTTTGCCCCGGATAAAAACTTCCGACGCCTGACGTCAAACGTGTCTGCAGATGTTTTATTTATGACAGACCGGTAGCTATTTGAGCTAATAATATCCCACAGGAACTGATATAAATAGGAAATTGTAGACATAAATGTTGTGATATCCGGTGCAGAAGGACAGACGGGGGTTACTAACCTCACAGTGCATACCTCAACTTGAATGTACACTTAAACGCCTACAACAGCTTTAAGCTCGATTAAAAACTTTACACAAGAACACTCGAGCTTCGGGTGAGCGGAGAGAGATCTGGGGTCACCGTCCTGCAGACGTGTTCTCAAGTTCTTGACTTTTATTTTTCATCTGCGTCAATGAACCGGCCTCCATTGTTCAGGCGGCATACCTCGTTGCCACTGGCAACCATTCTAGTGGTACGGCTACTGTAACTCCGGTTGTTTTTGCGAGACAAAATCCGTGAGAACTCACATTTAACAGTTTCTAACTAAGACTTTATCATGATTTTTATTTACAAGTAACACTGTATTGGTTGTATATGAAATCGCTGGAGAAACGTACGCATCAAAGCGTTAGGGGCTAGACTTTCTTTCTAGACTTTCCAGTCCTGCTACAATTGTAAGGGATACGGTATTCAACAGGGACAAATGGACGTTGACCCCTGTCGAAACCTGAGGGAGGGATGATTGTGTTCCCTGCATGCTCTGCATTTCGGGAAAACAATCAAACAAGTGGTGTGCACTCCATACTAAATATTATGCATACGTCATATGTCATCCAAGGGCCTTAAAAACGCGCGGTTCGAGCAGATCGATCAGTGCCTGCGGCAAGTGGTCCCTCTTGTCTCAGCTGCCGGGTCTTTCTGCAACATTTGCAAACTGCTAGCGCTACCGAGCATGCAGGCAATTGCAAGGATGGCCAACTTTCCCCAAAGGTTGTTACCGGTAAGTGTTTGTGCAGAATTTTACCCGGGTTCGCTGTAGTGTAGTGTAACGACCGATAACGTTAGCTCGAAGGTGTGACACGATATGCAAAGCTCCTGTAGTGTGTATTAGCTATGAAATCTCGCTTGGACTTGGACTTTATTGGGATCCACAATTAGTATGACATTTCTGCCAGCTACTCTTCCTGGTTTTAGTACTGTGCGTAAATGTAAGCTGTACAAGTATTGTTTGACTGAACAATCAACATGTTTTCAGACATGTTTATATCTGAGTAACACTCGTTACGTTGTAAGTAAACTCGGACATTGCTTAAAAGTGCAGATCTTTGGTATAGATAAGGCCGCATACTGCATTCTAAAGCATTGTCGTATCGTAGGAGCACAAATCAGTCACGAACTTGGGCGCACGAAAGACAAAACGGGACGGTGTTATCAGTTGAAACAAGCTGTTGTACTATTTTGCCCACGTGCCAAGTGTAACGTTAGCACCGGAAAAGTCAAAGAAAGGCGCCTTCTCTGCCCTCTTTCAGCAAATTACGTTGTCCGGCTGGTTTTACTCTCCAGACCAGGCTTCAGAGTTGGGCTTGATGTGGCTTATTCTATGCTGTTTTCAATCCATACCTGTTTCTAGTCCGCACCTGTTTCTGATAGCCGCCAAGAAAAAAAACAACCGCTAAGAATACAGGTGCAGTACTGTATACATTACTACAGTATACAATCATTGTATACATGTACTATGTAATGTATACAGTACTGCATCAGAACAGCTCATGATAAGAGCTAATCCTCGAAGCTCGCTGTGGAAGCTTACTTCTTTATATGACACGAAACAGCAAGGGATCGGATATATCTTAGGTGTAGACTTGCATCATATTAGACCCGTCATTTTCTCACGCTCTACATGTCAATTCTTATCAACGCCAACATTTCATTTTTACAAAATGTACTATAATCATCACAAATGAATCTATTTTTGTCCAGGTTGCTTTGCTGCCAATCGTCATTGCGACTTTCATCACGGCAGAGCAGTCTTGGCAATCCGGAGCCAACCTAGAGCACTACATTTCAAGCGCCCCCAGCCTGGCGACGAAAAAGGGCCAAGCTGGACTCTCCTCATCATCATTAGCTGGTACGATGGAGATCAGTGCCAGTCATACAGCTCCATCGGTGGATGTGGTAGGGACTCAGGTCGTACGTGAGCCGTCCGATCACGAGCAAGAATTCCACCACTCTGGCGGACTGAAATGGGTGGATTCCAACAACGGTGAAAGGTTTGCAATGATGGGCCTGGAAGATGCCGAAGAAGAAAAAGGCCAGCGAGCACAAGAAAAACCAGCTGGTAACGTCTCAACCGATGGAGAGTCGGTTCTCGTCGTTACCATCAACATAACTGGTTTTATGACACCCACTAACGGTCCAAACCGTATGGACGCACTTCATCAGACCGAATCAAGAGGTGGTGACGAAGCTACAACAAGTGAAGCCCGAAAACAAACTGTGTTCTGCCTCGGTGGCACACAACCGTGGACTGGCCTGTTGAGGACCTTCTTGAACAGTATCGCTTGGCAGCCATGCTGTAGCCTTGTCCACCTGGTGTCCCTTTCTATTAGAATAGGGTTTTGTTGTGCTTATTTGTTCGTAATGTCATCGGTAATTCTCTTGTGCATTTGCACCGCATTCCCCTCCGAATTGCCAAACAAACTTATCCAGAACTATTTCCTCCCCGCTATTATTGGAATGTTAGTGTATTTGCTCGGTGTCCTCGTCCTGTATGCAATCCTGCCTGTAGTCGGCATGTCCCTGATAGTAGTTTACAGATCGATAACCAACTGGTTTCCAAAAATGAGGTTAACGTCCGAGGAAACAATCGCGCGGTGTACCGTGGAGCTGCCCATGAAGGTCCTTTCGTTAGCCCTGGCTCAGCTCATGAAGAAGGGAACAACACCGAGTCAGATCGTGAACCCTCAGTACCAGCACCAACATCTGCACAACAACTTCCGCCGGAACAGAAGATGTGGATAGTTGGGAGGCATGGGCCTACTTTTGAGGACATTATTGTATTCGGGCGATGTATAAAATGTACATAAAATGTACAGATAGAGAATCTGGTGTAGTTTTTGTACAGATGACAGGCTTTGTACAGGCTTTCATCATATACATATAGTATCTGCTGGGAAGGAGATATCCTTCTTGGATCTCCGTTTGTGTGTTCACAGCTATAACTCTAATTTTTTGTATAAGCTGTAGCTTTCGACAGTTGTATTAGTCTGTTTTATATTAAAAAGTAATGTTTTGCTTGACTTTAACCAGGAAAATCTGTATTTATTTAAGTTATATTGCCTAGGGGCAGGTGTTAGTTACTGTAGTATTGACTATTGTGAATTGGTGCTCAACTTTCATATAGGTGGTGTCAAAATAAAGATCACCGTGCACTTATATGATTTTGTTGTCATTTTCATATTTTTGTATTTATTTTATATTTTCATATTTATATCTATCTATCTATTTATTAATCTATTATACGTATATTTCTGATTATAACCGATACAATGGCCAAGTGGGTAAAGTGCATGCTCGCCTTGCATTCGTTAGGTTGTGAGTTTGATCCCCGGCCGAGTTGGACTGCGAAAGGTGCCTTGATACTTCACAAGAAAGACTCGACAGATGAATGAAGGTGGTGAATGTGAACTCATTTAATATCAACACAAATTAATCAAAAGTTCATTCATATATATCTATAGCTGAAATAGACATCCTCACGAAAGCTTTTGAAGCCTGACACATGGTATATCTACAGTAGCTGTACATTCGAATGAAAGCTCATCTGTGTGGGTAGAATCCATAGTTGTAGAGTTCAAAATTTGTTCTAACACAAGAAAGGAATTTACAATAAGTTTTCAGTCGATCTCGTCAACCTTCGTCAGATGTATGATGCACGCACTGAATCTCTGGAAGTCGGAAGCGTGATGACGCCAGGAGTACATCAAATGTGACGAAGGTTGACGAGATCGACCAAAAATTTATGCTGAGTTCCTTTCTTGTGTTGGAACATAGCTTGAACTTTACATCTAAGCAGCTGTACATGTGCGGTCAGTGTGTGTTCCCGCACGACACCTGGCGATCATAGTGTTCACAACATGCCGTTTTACGGCTCTAGTCTTAGTAACACCTCAATTCTGCAGCCTGATATTCAGTAGTATATTCTATTGGAACGTAACAAATATTTAATCTCCAAACAGACCTTTCGTTGGCCGCAAAAGACAGTACCAAATTGGCCAGGTAGTGTCCACTAAGTTAGCCAGACAGTATCCATTGGCCACCCTTCGGTGGCTAATGGGCACTCCTCTGGCCAATGGACACTACCTTGTCACCGTATGATCTGCTTGGAAATTAACAAATACTAGTGCATGTACTTCCAACATTCTCTGTTCGCTTTATGTACAAAAAAAGTGGTATCAGTCAATGACCTCAAAGTGATATTGATGGTGATTCTAATTCTAGGTTTGAATGTTGCCAAATATTGTTCGCAATGAGTTGAACGTTTATACAACACAAAGACACGTTTATACATAGACCACACAAAGGTAAACTAATCTACCCATAGCAGCGTTATGACGTAGGTTCACATGGAGGTTTGTATGAGAAACTGATGTGAGTAGGATTACTTCTTGAATCATGGTTTTTGGTTTCTCATTCTCCCGGTATCTATCGACATTCTTCTCTAAATGTTTGATATGATCCTTCTGTTGCAGATACTAGTACATGTATATCATTTCCACATCTCGCGACCACCTTTAGCTTTATGCTTGGCTCCTCTATAAGGCGAAGTTGACCGACGAACATAACGGATCTGGCAACTTGAAAGGCCCTGGACAATGATCGCTCCACGAGCGCCGCCTATTGGAGTCTTGCGGTACAACAACGACTGACGTTGAACAGAGTTCGAGAGTCTAAAGTTTCACTGGTTCCCATTTCATTCTCGTGCTCCACAGTTCTGCTTTCTTTTTGTTTTCCTGCTCGGTGGCGTCTTGTCTTTGCCTGGCCTTCATTCTGTCCAGACTTTCTTTGCGACGAGTTCTTGATGTGCCTCGGGCGGTCTGTCTCTGTCCATTACTTTCTTCTCTGTGACTTTTCCCCCAGTTCCCCGCCACTTTTGCTTGTCTGTAGGGCATCAGAAACGGCTTGGTCGCAGGAAAAGTCGACGTCACGGATCTATTCTGTGACTTGGAATGAGCATCTGATGAAAAAAAGACAACAGGAAAGATGATCGATACATGGACGCCTTTTTCATGTCGATAAAAGTTATAGGACGAACTCAAGAGGTAAAGTAAGCAATTATTTTGCACCGGTACCGTTTCTTACTCTCCAAGTAGAGGTTTGTTGGGTTTGGGCTTATTTTGGGCGTGCTTTTAGGCTTTTTTTAATCAGGGTTTCTTTTTTGCACTGGATTTTTTACGCCATGGGTAGCCAAAACCCAAACCTCTGCTTGGAGAGTACAGTTTCTGTCCTCACCTGGTGGCGCGGTTCTAGCTCTGTCCTCCGGATTTCCGTCTCCATGGTGATCCCCGTTTCCATGGCAACACTTCCGGTTGAAGTGGTGCATGTTGGTGAGGTCATGGTAGCTGCCGTCGCTGTTGCCGTTCTCGCGTGCGTACAGGTGCATGTTCCTCATCTGCTGCTGCTGCCACTCCAGGTCGAACAGGTGCTTCAGCCTCTGGTGGTGCCGCGTGTGCTCTTGCTGCAGGCGGCAACAGGAAATTAAGAACAGAGCTTTTTTGCACGAGAGGTTAAGGAGGCCGTATAGCTACATCAGGGCATTACAACTATCCCTCAACAGAGACGGGGTTGGGGGGCGCCACAGACTCTCTGCAACCTATGATCCACTGCTCACGGAGTCACGAGTGTTATTTGCGTGACTCGACAAAGACTGGAGCTGTACAGTCTAAAATTTGGGCAAGTCCGATTCCTTGTGTTGGAAATTGCAGTTTAAACTTGTTTCATACAACACAGGTGGACTTCCAAAATAGGAAATAAAGTGTTAATGTTTATGCATGGAAGACATGCCAAAGGGTAACATCGTAAAATTCAACGTACAAGGATATCTTCCCTGCTAGCTCAACAAAAGGCTAGGCTCTTGTGCAGGCCTCCGGGCGGGGGGGTGTGGGAGTTTTGATGCCTTCTCTGGGCGGCTGGTTGTAGGATGGCCGGCAAAAGAACCCGTTAAGAATTCTACAAAACGCAGTATCAAAACTCCCACCCGCCCTGAGGATTGCACAGGAGGCTACAAAAAAAGCAATGATGGCTTAGTAATATAGAACAAAATGCAAGGTTTGTACATGCAGCAACAAAGATCACCGAAGTTATGTTCAATTCACCAGAAAAGATTAACCTCCTTTCAAAATAATGGAATGTTTTGTAACGCGTTAAGCACATTGTACCTGCATCTTTATGATCTCGGCGTTCCTCCGTTTGATGTCTGCATGTTCCAGGCTAAAGTAGGCCCGCTGGAGCATGTACTCCGCAGTCTGGCCTGCAGTTGTCGGCGGTGCCGTATGGGGGCGCTTCAGCAGCTTCGTCTCACTGTGTTCACCTGTGGGGAGTGGCATTTGACGTTACGGGGACTACTCTCCAAGCAGAGGTTTGGGTTTGGGGTTATTTTTGGCGTGTTTCTAGGCTTTTTTTGTCGGGGTTTCTTTTTTCACTGGATTTTTTTAACCCCTCTAAAAACATCCAGTGCAAAATGGAAACCCCGATAAAAAAAGCCTAGAAGCACGCCAAAATACCCCAAAACCCCAACCTCTGCCTGGAGAGTAACGGAAACATCCCATCGCTAATACCAGCAACACATTCGGAACGACAGGTAATCTGTTTGGTAGTCCCTCTTCATAAAAACGTCCGTATACCGTTTCAACACCTATTACAGTGGTAATCCGTACTTCAATGGGAACCAGTGAATGAAAATATTGCTTTCGCCAGGCGCATTGTACACTGCGTTAAATATTACATGGGTGGAATACACGGGGGAACAAACAATGGATCATTTAATGGCAGAGTTGTAATGAATGAAATCCTTCTTCCCTTCAAGTAAGATAAAGCAGGAATGCCTCCGAGGACAGAAGGACAACAGCCTTGACTGAAGGGCCCGTCAAAGTCCGTGATAGCGACCACAAAGCGAGTCAGGCGTTGCCAGCGTTTGAACCTTGTCATCAAGTTCAGCTTGTCATTGAACGATATATGGCATCACTCTCTTTTTATGGTTTTGACAAACAAGTGTACATGTATACACAACGGAGGGAAAATATAACAATGACAACGCAAGAAGGTTGACAGATGGTGAAAATACAATGTACTTAATTAATTCAGCGAGGTCTTACCGTTGTATTTCAGCATCTTATGTTTCCCTTGGTACTTGAGTAAATCCTGAGCCAGATCAGCAGACGACTTCCTCCTAAAAATGTACCAGAGCAACAATTAGCTGTAATCCGTACGTCAGTCTGAGTATATTTGTACAGTTTACAATATGCCACTGCAAAGATTTAAAGCTCTTCTTTCTGTGAGGTTCCATAATAACGTTATCGTTGCATTCTGAAACTTAAGATTCTACTAAGAACCCATGCATTGTAATCTAGGTGTTGTCTCCTTACTTTGATTGATCGACGTTATCATGTATTGTGTGACGTCTGTGTATATTGTACGTATCAAAACCTATGGTGGCAAGAGCCTATCAGCTAGTACGGTCAATGGTCTTGTCATGTTAAAACTTAGTACCTACCTGTATGTATGAAGAACAGCGCGTCCCTGTGCGAGTTCTGCATTCCGGTCGCTGTACAGGCTCATGCCGCTGCTACAGAACGTGGTTCTGGTCTCACAAGACCTCTGGTCGGGACTACGGCTCACATCAGCCGAGACCTTCTTACGACCTCTGCCGTGCCTGTCGTCTGTAGGACTTGAACTGTCGTTATGGTAACGGTCCTGCTGTCGGACAGTGTCAACCAATCGAGAGTCTTTGGAGTCACGTGGTGAACTTTCTTGGCTCTCGTTGTTTGGATCGCCGGGTAGATCTAAACTTTGTTCTATTCCCGAATCTTCAAAACTGTCCTCCATGTCGTGGTACTGCCATCCGTTTTCAACAGTACCTGCCAGCTTTGCGTCTGGTATGTGGTGTGAGGAAAGGCTTGAGTCCTTCCCTTTGGAGGTAAAGCGTGACTTACACGTGTGCCGAAGGACCGGTGGGGTCTTCCTCACCGCGTGACAACAGCTTTTCGGCGAAGGGCTGTGTTTCTCATAGACGCGGTTATTGTTGCAGTTTCTCAGATGACAGCGCCGCTCGACGTGTTCTGGTCGGACGCGAGTAACGATCGGGTGATACAGTCTGGACGGTCGCTGGGTTTCCTCCGTCGACCCGAGGACGGGGCTCGCTGAAAGTCTTCCGATACCGAATTCTGACTCGTTTATACTGGTGGTGGTCCTCAGCTCGTCGCTGGAGGCGGGGTCGGCGTTCAGGATGTACTGTAGCAGGTTGTGCCCCATGTTTCGGTTGCTCCCTAGTTCCATCGTGTGCTGCTGTTTCTCCGCACCCGCCTCCTCCTCGGGATGCTCAGTAACCTTTCCTTTGACAGGTGCGAAGTACGGCCCGGCAACTTGTCCCGCCATTCCTACAGCAAGAGAGCAGAATCAAATCGTTTACAGTCAGAAAAACCGTGAATGAACTGGAGAAAGATTTGCAGAGTGTGATTTCGTGTCCTCCTTCTCACACCAATCTGTCTCTCGACACCTCTATATGGTACTAACTTGTCTCCTACACCGGAATAAAAAAAACGGGGACTGTTAAAACATCCAAAACAGAAAAAAACGATGGAACGAACACAAATACTCCAAAACAAATATAACGCTTTATGCCAACTGTCTGTGGCGTTATAAAACAAGTCTGGTGCAGCCCGTGGTTACAGTTAGCGTCTTAAATCCAAAGACACCCGCCGACTGCCATACATCTTAAACATGTATCCTAAATTAACCGTCAACATGTCAAAATATCAAGGAAAATCAGTAAGTAAAACTATTTTTATAGAAACTATTCTTTATAGATAGAAACCAGACCTACCAGCCTGCATGATGTCCGTGAGTCTAACTGAACTCCGAAGCTAAATGGTCTTTCTTTGGGCGGTGCTCGTTTGGGTTCACTGAGTCCCTATAACTCTATTTCTTGATGGTCAACATTGGTGCGCCGCAATTAAAGGATTACATCAGTCCACAACATTCCTAACTATGCTGTTCCGAACATTGATCACAACTATCACAGGTTTGAGTGTTATTTCATAGTCCTTCATAATTAATGACATTGACAAAGAAAATCAGATTGCTCTTTTCTCGACCACAAGTAACATTAAGGACTTTTTAATAGTTCGTAGTTGTGACCGGACGTCAAAAATACCTGACGCCAGAACGGACAGGTGATATATAGTCACCCCTGCGAGCATGAAAGTGCAAATTTACAATTTCACTCACACAGGACGGCTGTAATAACCTGTATATTCCAGTGTGGCACCAGTACGTGGTCCGGGATTGTACGGGCTGTATACAACTTTTCTATAGGAATGACAAGTCGTAAGGGAAGAGGCAATATTGACCCGACCAACTGCTCTGACTGCTGGCAAACACTGAGGACAGGCCACATAACAACATAACGTTCTCTTTCAAAGTACTGTCAGTACCTATCAGTTAGAATACTTGTACGTTACAACTGTTGGACATTGACACATGGCAAAGCAAAAATTCAGGAAAGACGACTAACATTGGAAGTAAGACAATAGCACTATCATCATGTAACTCCTGACAAAAAGGGTTAACAACTTTCATCGTAACTCTAGTATTGTATATAGATAAACTGTACCATCAGACCACCACTTTTGGCAGCCATTTTATGAGTGTACTAAAATCATAAAAGACGAAAGTATGTATATATGCAAACAACCAATCTGCTGCTGTAACAGTCGTAATAGATGTGTCCGCTTTGGACGCAGATTGGCAATCTACTGCATTGATATACGAAGTGTTGATACACATCTGCCATATACAACACCAAGTAACCTAGTTCAAAGGCCACACAGAGAGGCAACATTAGGCCAATATTTGCCTATCGCTGGTTTATTGGATCAAACGAGCTTAATTTATGGTTCTTTGTCGGTAACATCGTCAAGAAGTCAATAGCAACGGGACGCCGGTATGCTGACCTCGATGATCAAGGCGCCCGTTCCTTGGATACAGGGCCTAAACGTTAGCAACAATTACAAATTTAGAAAAGACGACTGTCGCATGAGGCATAAAACACAACATGACAAACACAATCATATCCGAGGTGCAGTGGAATTTTTCAATACAAGACTGGCGCACAAATTGAGATTCTTTCAATAATTGAATTTTGGGTGATATAAGCGTTCATACTTACGTAGTCATCTATTTCATTTGCGTCGGTGATAAAAATATTATTACCCATTACAACAAGGCATCACAGTAATACATGTACCTGTAGTTTTGTTAAAGTTCAACCAAACGGATTTTACGACGTTGGCCCGCTCGTCTGCGGGCACCATAGAGACCGGCTATGAAAGAGAAGTATGTCCGCATTAATTTTATGGTCAACATACTCCGCCATGAAGACAAACATCTGACGACATTTGAAGGCGCTGTTAACGTGATAATCACTCATGGTTACTGCTGCTGTCAGGAGGATTACTCAGGTAATAGCTGACTGCCCCACACAGAGCGCCACTGACAACGTGGGACTTATTACACTGGTTAAAGTATTTCTACATATGGAAGTAAATTTTAATGGAAGTGTTTTTAGAGTACATGGCCATGGTGTTGTTCAACTAACTAGCTCTGTTCAAGACTGAAAAATGAAAAGGTGGGCAAAACAGCTCATTGCTTAACGACGTTTCGGGTTATACCTGAGGCACAAAATGACTGAAGGCTTCCATATCTTTTATCTGACCTATACACATATTACGTCCCACTTATAGATGCACGATTGAGATTAAAATAACATCTTTGTATAACAGAGTTATAAGTAAACTTTGACCAATCGTCTGACAGAGATACCATAGACTGACAAGATGTTGTTTATAGCTTATCGATGCTAGATGCCGTCTCCTTGGAACAAAAACCCTGCGACAACACCACGTGACAGCTAATTAAAAGGGGGATCACAGGAGCTTTGTCATTCGGCGAGAAACAAACGTTTCCTAATGCAAGAGTTAAAACATGACTTAAGCCTTACTTAGCGTTCCTTGTGTTCTGAGTGAGCCAGGATTGTGGTCCCTTTGACTTATCAAAACGCAGCATTCTTTTTTGAAAACTTAAGTACTTCCTCGGCGTACTCGATAAAAGACTGTGTGTTCAGCTGCGGGTTCATCAGCTACCTTTACAACTATTTATGGGAGTGTGAATGTTTCGTGTTTGTGGCCGGTACAATCGGTGCACCTGCTCAGGTCGTAACGTACCATAAGCCCTGTTGAAACGGACTCCAGCTAACAAACAACGTTTAACGGAGGAATAAATAGCAAAACTTACACTCTCCACTTCAGAGAATCCACCAAGACAAGCATACGTATCATCCAAGATTTCCAAAGACCTGAGGATTCACCGGTGTACAACGACCATTTTCTTTGCATGAAGAATTTCACTTAAACGCTTTGTTGCCTCCTCTTAAGAGGTTTTAAAAACTTTTTTCTCTCTCCAGAACAAAAGTTTTAAAACATGTATTTTTTCCTGAGAGAAAATAGTGCGAGAAGACGTTTAGTTGGAGATGTTGTTTTGAAAGTCAGTGAAACGAGGCGGACAAACGTGCGTTACTAAGCAGAGCCATTCCACAAACAGTGTTCTACACACGCCATACAGGACACGAACATTCCGACATGCTATAGTACAACATGCACAGACTTTGTACCGAACATCGCACCTTCCACAGTCTACCAGCACCGACTTCAGACTTAATTAATTGCAACAGCAAACAGGCGTTATTGTTAGTCAATGAAAACTGTTTGACAAAGTTTATGGACGGAATAAGTTGTCCTGTTCAAACTTGTTTGTTCTCCGAGCTCATGCAGGACCCCGGTCACTAATCCTGGGTAAGACATGAAAACACAAAACACAGTTCTCTCTCTCTAATTAAGGGTCCCTTCTTATCTCATCAGACCACTTAAGAGGACCAACTGCACACTGTTACAACACTAGACCCGAGAATTATGGCTTCTCTGTATACAAATGCTACAATCCGCACGTCGCCTCTTTTACCTGCTACAAAACTATCTCCATAGTACAAGCTGTACGTAGTTGTAACTTGGCATATCTGTTACATGAAGTCACACTTACCATGATCGACAATCTTGTTCCGACATCTTGAATGTTAACGTTACTCCTAATTAAATGTTCCTATTTGCGGTACAGGTACAGCATCGGTAGGTATTGGCATGCTCAAACAAAGTGGTTGGCGTAATACAGGGGAGAATCAGTATTTCCTGAAAGGGGGGTCAAGTAGGTAGATACAAAGTCGCGGACAAAATCTTATTATAGATTTAAAGGGTCAGCGTTGCATACAGTGTGTTGTCTTTTTATTACATTCTTTGACTTTTCCTGACTTCCCATAACTGCCCTCCCCCCCCCCCAAGAACACAGTGGACTGTCCCCGTGTGTTTGCCATGCTCTAACTCCCCGTTACCATCGCCAACCGAGGATGTTTTGTCAGGCTCCACTTCAGTTGAATCAAGAACTTGGTACGTCACACGGCAGGCCGCTTCACGCTCTTAGAATGCGCCGTGTTCTCACGGTGGATTTACAACTTGTAAAGAACATTCAAAACAAGCTTAAGGATAATGTCCTGTCTTATTGTCGAGTTAAGAATGGAAGAATGGAGTTAACAAATGCTGCAAACCGTTTAAAATGTTGATACAGTTTCCCTATAGAATGAATTATATAATGCTCTACAATCAGAGCAAACTCGGCAATCTATCAATGCAGCACATGACATTACTACATTACGATTGCCTAGTTGTGGCCAGGAGACAACAACAGAGGTGTTAAAATATAAGGCAATTTGAATGATTATTCCAGATAAGGCAGTCGTCCTAATTTTTACATGTGTTCATTTCGAAATGACTTAATAAATGCACTGTGCTGTGTCTCTCGTGTATCTTATTATATTCCTCGAGTGTACAAAATATAAAATGACGTATCATTTCGCGTACTACTATCTTGCCCCACCCTGTATAACCTGTTCTGTCGTTATTTGCATCTCATATAGCGATCAATGTTCAATGACGTCTATGTAGTCTGTATTCAGAACAGGGACCCTTTTTCACACGCGTATATGTCACAGAGATGACACTAAAACCCACACAACGTTGTCTTCTGTTTTCCCACAAAACCGTTGTGTCTGCACCTCACATTGAAACAAAATCTACTCTACGTACCTTGGAGGAAAGTCTGTCCCAAGAAAACACATTGTACGGCAACGTTTCATCAGGAACGTCAGGGAAAACAAGAACGCACACATGTACTAGTACGCTTGTACATAATTTGTAGTCCCCTTGTTTTACTTGTTCTCCCAATGCTCCAATTTTCTGCGTGATTACACCTGTAATGAGCACTCCTCGTCATGAACGCCGTTCACATGGCGACAGATTCTCTATTTGTTTATCTATTTTCATACCTGTCAGACCGGTAAAGGCGGGGACTTGGGGAGGGACCATTTTTAGAGCTTCTCGAATCCTCTCTTTTCTTGTGCTTCAACTGCAGCTGGCGACCTGATTTTGAACTGCAGTTCTCAACTTATGTACAACATATTAAAAGTTTGTAGAATGTTTATATATGTCGTTTATTTTGTCAGAAGGGCGGCACCCAACAAGTGATGAAGCTTTACATTTCGAGATTAAGTTCATTAGAATGGATAATATTGACATCGACAGGTAGAAGATCACCATTGGTGACTACAGGTGAAACACAGAGGCGTGTCGCTTAGCGGAGAAACGCAAATTGACTGGAGAGTTTTTAAAGTGCAGTTTTTTTAGGGCTTGGAAACCAGATTTTCAATCAAAGTCAATATTCTAGTCACTTATCTACATACTAAGTTGAAACAACACTGTCCCAATGTATATCGACATTCATGGAGCAAAAATGCCCAAAATTCTGACGAAAACGGTTACTGGAAGGACCTGGATTGATTTTAGGATACCACCCAGAAAATAAAGGACTAATCTTGGGGCTTGTTTCTGCAGTTTTAAAAGTATGAAATACTGATTCAAATGTGGTAATGCGGGATAGTATGTGTCAATATCATACAGATTGCCTTATTCAGAATATTTACAGTTTTGCCGCCCTGAAATTACATTGGATGGTTTTAAACTACATGTATATGAAATGTCAGGATTGTTATCACTTACCTTTTACGAATTAGTCGATTCTTATCACTGACCGAGAGCTTGACGCCGGCCAGTTACGGAGAGCGTCCTTCATCTGTTGTGCGTGTATAAATGTTGGTCTGTAGTATAATGTCCTTGGTTTGTCGGTACTTTTGAAAGAAATCCGCGTAGACTGGTTTATATATGTACGGGAGGGGCGCGGCGTGCCTCGAGATGAATTTGAACAAGAATTCCAAGCGGGTTGTTTAAAATTGTCACGGCACAAGAAAATATCATTATCTTTAATGAATCATATGACCTTTTTGAGGAGAAACCAATCAAAAATCCACATAGTAATGTGGACCCCCCCTGCATACATGTATTGGAACCCTCCTCGCTTCACGGCTCAAGAGTTGCCAACACCGGTTTTGTTTTTGAAGGGTCATACAAACACACTCCAACATTTCACTACACTTGTTAGATCTCGTTACAGTGACAATAGACGGCAACCTCTTTGTTTGTTGCTATGACGATGAAAAGGTGACAAGGAGAGAAAAAACAGAACGACGAGGACGGTCACGGGCGGACTGAAGTCGGTATTTGTTTCTCCAGAAAAGTCTGGTCCCATATCTGTCATGAAGCGTTACTGCGTTTCTATGTAAAACGAAAAGGGCGAACGCAAAATGAGAAAAAAAATTCAGTAAACAACTCGGCTAAAACCAAGTTAATCTCCCTTCAGTTGGTTAGTTTGTTAACTGGGTATGTATTCAGGTTAACCACATTTAAGTGCTTTTATTGATTCTTTAAGTTTGTGTTTTCTTCTTGCTATCTACACTGCAATAATTCTCCAGTTCTTCACTACAAAAAAAAGCTGACCATCACATACATTCTGTCAAAGAGACATTCGTTTTTGTATCCATGTAAAGACAGTCGGTCTTTTGAAAACGTCTTTGAAGTTCTCAAGTTCCACCAAGTGTCTGCTCCTCGCAAACAGCTGCTCCTTAAGAGCGCACGAGACTTTATAAGTAAGTCGAGCTAATTCTGTTGAGAACTACTGAAGTACCGGAGTCCTTCTATATAGCTATTCAAGTTTGCGTGACAAACTTAAAGAGATGTTTCCAGACACGACTTTCTTACTCTTATGTTACAGTGCGTGGTCGCTTTGATAGGATTGTTTCTAGATTTTGTGAAATCCAGATTGACAATATTCTAATGCATTACAAATGCGATGTCAGGTTCTATCTGTCTGCGGTAAAATTACGCCCTCTAGAGAAAATAGATATAAGTGCAGTGGTTACCTGCTATTAAATAATAAACTTTATTGCACAACAATTGTACAAAGTACTGAGCATGGTATCTACTGGTACATAGCTAAAGTTCCATAAGGCTAAAATACCTAATACAAGGGTGTGTAAATTTTCTTACTTTTCGTTTCAATTTTGTACTTATATATTTTGTAGACGTTGTCTTTAGCTGAATGGTGATTGTATCTATATGGTATGAGTTCGGGTTCGGCCATATCATAAGTCCCAAACCGAGGTAGTTGAGGATCTTTAAGAAAAGATTATCAAACTAGAAACAACAATTTTCTTTTATCCATCAAAGATAGCCGACATTCTTTATATAGTCCGCTTCAAAGAGTGTCACATCAAAATCGCCTGCTTTTTAAAGAAAATATTTATATAATCTATTTCACTTGAACAAAGTACCGGTATTCATCTCTGCATTAGTAAGCTCAGGGTCCCCACAAGTAAGATGCTACACATTCATTACCATACATAACAATCGTCTTTAGACGAATGAATAAACCGCAGCAATCAACGGTGGTATCATTAACACATTAACTCAAACAGGAAGTCGGTGAAGACGGGGCAACAATCGGTCGTCATAAGTACACAGACAGGACAACAGATCGGCGACAACACCACCCCTGCTGGGTCCTGTTGTACTAGTGATCAGTCTCACACACTTCACGCGGGGGTGTTCTCCATTGTTTTACGGGCTTTTGATCCTTTTCAGGAACTTGAATGCTCGATTACGGGACGAATGTTGTTTATGTCGTATTGAAAATGCGCTAATTGGCGGGTCATTGTCTCTAGTAACTGCCCGACAGGTGTGAGCCGCAGGTACTCTTCACCTTCTTGAGAAAACAATGGACGTGTCGGAAGTTTACCTGGCGGGGTGTTTTCTTTATTACGCAGTGAATGGAAGTGATCATAGATAGGTGAATTCGAGTGAATGACTAGTAGACATAGAACGCTTCGGACCTTAGGCGTTACAACTAACATATTGTCATATACCCACATATCATAGACGAAGTTTTAGCCTCTACCAGGCTTGAGGGCGCGGCTGGAAATAGTAGAAATTGGCCAAAATAGAGAGATATGATAACACGCCGAGGGAGTTTAGCCATCCAGTTAACAGTTTGAGGGGCCGGCAAACTGTAAACTGGATGGCTATAAACTCCATTGGCGTGTTATCTCTCTATTTGGTCAATTTCTACTATTTCCAGCCGCGCCCTCAAGCCAGGTAGAGGCTAGGTGAATTCCAGTGAATGACTAGTAGACATAGAACGCTTCGGTCCTTAGGCGTAATATATAAACTAAGGACCTTATACTAAGTTATAGGGAAAGCTATGTATGTTCTGTTCGGTACTTGAATAGTTTCTGGCCGCTGAATAATGTCAAATGAAAAATTGGTGAGGATCCAGAACGCAGGAGATGAAATGATCGTACAGTGATATGCTAGTGAACACTTTTATGAGCTCGACGATGGTTAAGTTACTGTCTTCTTGCACGTCTAAGTCTTTCACGTTCTTCCGTTTTTCTGACACACAGCACTTACGATCTAATCTCCAAGCAGATTCGGTGGGGCAAGGGGACTTTATATTGGCCTCCTGTATCCATTAGCCGCCTGTATCCAACGTTCGCCCCACGATCTTCATTCCCATCATCTGCTCGATGGTTATGCGTTCTCTTCAAGCAGAGGTTTGGGTTTTGGCTTATTTTTGGCGTGTTTTTAGGCTTTTTTAAACTGTTTGTTTTATGCACGTTGGGTTAGCGTTAAAACGTGCAAACAAGAAAGCCCGATAAAAAAGCCCAAGAACACGCTAAAAATAAGCCAAAACCCAGACCTCTGCTTGGAGAGTAGGTAAGCAACGACAATATCCGTACAGCAGAGGCATCTTGCGGCTCATGTTTGAACTACAGGAATGCAGACCACGGAAGATGTTGCTCGCGAGGGCGCATTCTATTGACACAACATTCGCTGTCTGAGCTTTTAATTCTAAGAAACCACTGTAACGTTTTGTCTGCATAGTTGGAAACAGTGCCATAGACCATGGTTAACGAAATGAGGAAAGACGACGAGATAGGATTGACAGTGCAGGAAGTGGAGTAGGCACTTCGCTACGGTGTGACCGTGACATGGCGAGTCAACCACAGAACCTGCCAAACTTTCTCGGATTCTCCGTACATCCTTATGCTTTCAAGGAAACGATCTAGACACTAGGCTTGTTGTGCCATTTAGCTCCCGTTTCACTTAATCGTATTGCGGTTTGTGTACTTTGTTTTAGAAAAACTCAGAAAGCAGACATTTTCCAGCGGGATCAGAAATGACTCTATTCATGTACATCCAGGCTTATCATCGAATCGCGTTGACCTACATCTGGGCTCCGTACTGAAATAATTCCATCATCTGTTTTTAAATCTGAGAATCCTGAGATGATGATGCGTTCCGGAACCATTGATGACTTATCTTTATCTATGGTTATCTCGGATGGTCGATCATTCACACCCGGATAACCACACATCTCATGTGAATCGTTTTTTTTTTCGTGCGCGTGCCTTACTTGAAGGAAGAAAAGTCAATTGCACTGACGGAAGAGGACAAAAGTAATTATAAAGACACGCGTGTTCCTTCACCAAACCATGGAACTTGCAGCTTGTGCCCACGAAAAGCCACGGCACAAGACAGGGCTGGCGCGGTATATTTAAGTTTGGGAGAGGTGGCTGTGAAATGGGATGTACATGTAACAAGCCACCACACCCAGGAAAGCTATTAAAGATGTGACTAAAAGAAGGGTTTAAGGCACATTATGTCACATAGATACCGCTAACAGACTAACGTGCGACCCGTGATAAGGGATAATGTTGGCACAGATACCTGCCCACTCAGCCACTTGAAGGGATCACCATTGAGCACCTATAATAGCGGACTCTGGGTGGATCTGTTCTGGGGAATTATATACCTAGTCTCGTGATAAAGTGGGAAGGTGACAAGATTACTGAGGCGGGACTGACGGAGTTGGTTGGTTGGTTGGTTGGTTGGTTGGTTGGTTGGTTGGTTGGTTGGTTGGTTGGTTGGTTGGCTGGTTGGTTGGTTGGTTGGTTGGTTGCTTGGTTGCTTCGTCGGTTGGTTGATTCGTCGGTTGGTTGCTTGGTTGGCTAAAGGTGAGAACAGGATCATTTGGCAAGAAAGTTTGATTTCAACAATTTTAACTTTCTTGGTTTGACCCTTGTCTTCTGATCATGTCTTGTCTTGTCATCACGAGGCCTGCCCTATAATCACTTGCTTACCGGGGGTGGAGCCGCGGAGGACTATTATGTTCTCCCTCTCTGGGAGTGTTTCTAATCCTGTTGTCAGGATCAATGATGAGAAAGGGAGATTTATGAAAACGGCTCCCTGACAGACGTTTCTCGGTGGTAATCCGGTAACCATGGTGATTCTTCGTTGTTGTCAGAGACTCGATAACTGCGGGATCTTTCGGAACTCTGAGTCGTCTTCACAATATGTCTGATCCTTCCAGTCAACTAACACGTAGCTAGAATAGTGGGCTTTAAGACATCTTATTATGTAAGGGCTCCATTTAAGGAGAACAGTATCATCAAGACATAGATTATACCACCTCTTAAGAATGTCCCGTGTCTTAAGTTATTAATTAGGGACAATACGGCGGCACCATAATTAGTATGCCTGGGCGGTTATTGGTGGAGCTTAGGAGGAACATCTGACCTGGCTCGTATGTCTTCAGGGCATCCCTGTAACAGCGCGGGACCAGACGTGCTTAATGTGAGAACTCCGCGAGCATTTAAGGACAATTAACGTGTAAAGAGGCGGATAATTAGTATGAAGAAATACAGTACCTGCGTTGGGGGGTCTGGGTGGTGAGAATGACTTGGGGAAATTGTTATAGCCAAGATTTCTTTTTAGGTCAACTAGTACTTTGAAGTG